AGCAATGGGAGTCATTGCTGCAGTCCCGCTGCTGTCAATCACAGCCAGTGAGCCAATGAAGAGAGAGCAGGGGCAAGGTCGAGCTGCTGTCTGTGTGTGAATGGACACACAGAGCAGCGGCTCAGGAGTGAGCCTGCTTTGGTGCCGCCATAGAAAGCTGCTTGCTGTGGGGGCACTTGGCAGGAGGGAGGGGCTAGCAGAAACAGCGGGACACTCAAATAGAGTGCCACCATCAGCAGAGTACTGTCACACAACCACAATCAGAGTACCGTCACACAGCCACCATCCCCAGAGTGCCCGTCCTACAGACAACATCAGCAGTCTACCTGTCCCAGTGCCACCAGAGCCAGCCATGCCAAAACAAGTTTACACTAGTGATGAGACGTTCAAAATCCTCCGTATGATGGATGAGAGCAGCGGGGAGCTCTCACGCTCTGATTCTGATTCAGTGTATGAGCCCATAGAAAGCAGTGGATCAGCGACTGAATCAGAGAAGGAAAGGGTCCCTCCTGAAAACGAGGCAGCACCAGCAGCGTCATACATGGTGGTCAATCTTCAAATGCCAATGGCGCTAGGCCAATAGAGGAAAGACCCAGTAACACTGAGAATTTCAGCAATTGATTTTTTCTATTAATTGTTGCCCTATAATTTACTACAGTTTATTGTGGACCAGACAAACCTTTTTGCCCAACAATTAATTTCTAACAACATCAGTTCATCCTATGTCCATCCGTTTGAATGGAGACCTCTTACATTAGAGGAATTTAAGTTATTTTTGGGCCTCACCCTTAAATGGGGCTTACAAAAAAAAAAAAATAAAGGACATGCATACTGGTCCACACACCCAATCCAACTCATGCCAATTTATTCTGCTGTAATATCCAGGTCACGCTATGAGATGATCATGCGTCTCCTTCATTTCAGTGACAATACCCAGTGCCCTCCCAGAGATCATCCCAACTATGACAACATACAACATTTGCCCACTTCTTAATTTGTTTTCCCAAAGATTTGCTGAACTTCTTGGGTCAGAGATAAAAACGTATGTGTGGATGAATCACTTGTCCACTTCACTGGCCGGCTGGGAATTAAGCAATATATTCCAAGTAAGAGGGCGAGATATGGAGTAAAGCTCTACAAGCTTTGTGAAAGAGCCACAGGATATTTATATGCGTTCTGCGTATATGAAGGCAATGATTCCTAGCTGCAGCCCCCTGAGTGTCCAACCTACATTGGAACAAGTGGAAAAATTGTCTGGGACTTTTTCAAAAAGGCTATCACATTTACATGGATAATTTCTATACCAGTCTGCCCCGTTTCCAACACCTGTACCATGAGAAAACCTTGGCCTGAGGTACCTCTAGAAAAAACAGGAAGGGTTTCCCACAATCTCTAGTGAATACCAGGCTACAAGGGGGAATCAGAAAGCCTAAGAAACGATGAAGAGCTGGCCCTGAAGTGGAAGGATAAGAGAGATGTTTACGTCCTGTCCACCATCCACAATGACACCTCGGTGGAAATTACTGGAAGACATGGTCCAATTCAAAAGGCTGCGGCCATCCAAGATTATAATCTCTATATGGGGGGGGGGGGGTGGATTTCAGATGTTGCAGCCCTATTTAGCAATCCCATTTCTGGTATAAAAAAAGTTGCAATCTGTTTTATTCATTTGGCTATATATGGTGCGTATGTCACCTACACCAAATCCACAGAAAACCCAGTACCTTCCTCAAATTTATATGTCACGTCTCTTTTCTATCAGCAAGGATCCCCTCTAGAAAGCATTTGTTCCGATTCTGTGAGCAGACTTCATGAGCGCCACTTTACTGCGAGCATTCCACCAACAGAAGCAGGTCAAAGACACCAAAAAGGATGTCGGGTATGCACCAGAGGAGGAGTTAGAAGAGACATGAGTTTTCACTGTCCCCAGTGTCTCTCTCAACCAGGCCTGTGCATCAGACACTGCTTCCAACGTTTTCACACGTTAATATTAACACATATTTCAAACATCTCCCTGTTTCAATATCTCTGCTGATCATCATTTGCCTGCTGCCTCTTCCAACCATGCCACTGCCTTCTACGTTAGCAGACCCCGGCCTGTTTATCAACTATGCCTTTGCCTGACATTTGCAATGTTTATCCACCAGATTTCTGCCTTCCACCTGAACGGAACCTGACCTGTTTATCGACTATGCTTCTGCCTACTGTCTGGATTATCAACCAGGTTTATGCCTTCTTCCTGGACTGACCTTGGCCTGTTAATTGACCATGTTTTTTGCCTGCCGCTTGGATTAATATTTTGCCCTGCTACTGTAGTAATAGGATTCAAGATAACACAGGGGTCTCATATATGTAAGGGGCTTCAGAGTAGAGAAAAACAGTTTTTGGTTTTCTCCGGGTTTTGTAATTTCCGGAACAGGGTCTGTTTGTCTGGAGGCTTCGAAGAGATTGTGTGGGATAAAGCCTCTACCTCTGTGCCCTGGTCCTACCTTACCGAGGCTCTAAGCCTGATGTTCCTTCCTGCTGCCTGGACCAATGCTTTGGCTGTGCTGACCATATCTCTGCCTACTGCCTGTACTGACCCAGGACCTTTATGGGCTATGTTCCTGCTTGCTGCCTTGACAAAAATTTTGGCTGTGCCGACCATATCTCTGCCGGCTGCCTGTAATGACCCAGGACATTTTATGTACCATATTCCTGCCTGCTGCCAGACCCGCTCCAAGAAGCGGTAAAATGTAAAGAAAGCCGACGATCCCCGCAGGATAGATCGGATCTGCGGATTGAGCATAAAGGATCTGATCCATTATGCGCAATCCACAGATCCAATCCATCCTGCGGGGATCTTCAGAGGGGGTGTCACCAAGTGTTACCGCACCGGGTGACACCAACCCTAGGGATGCCTCTGCGTGTGGGAGAAATAACCTTTTAATATAACAATTTTGTTTAAAAAAAAAATCAATTTTCAATAGAATTGTGGGAAAAAATTACAACTTAAAAAAATGATGCCACTGACTAAAAACCTTGGACTGTCTACTTTCCAAACAGGGGTCATTTGGTTGGTATTTGTACTGCCCTGGGTTGTTAGTGTCTCAAGAAATGAGATAGGACATCGGTACAACAGGTGTGATCAATTTTCAATGATTGGTTCTATAGCTTGTAGACTCTATTACTTTCACAAAGACCAAATAATATACCAAGATTTAAGTTATTTTTACCTGAGAAATCACTTGAAAAACACCCCCTAGCGTTTCTAGCTGTGGCCATCTTGAGTAAGGGCAGGTGATTAATTTAGCATTTACTTCCTGGAATCCATCTTCCCTTAGCTCAGGCATGCAGGCAAGAGGGTGTGCTTAGCTGAGAAAACCCCTCCCTCCTCTCCTGAAGACTCCTGGAATGTATGACATCATTTGCCTAGGCCAGAACACCAGAACGTAACTCACTAAATGTAAAAAAAAAGGTTAAACAAGTAAATATGATATACTTTCCTATCTATTCACTAATGCTAGCAGCAAAAAGATTAAAATAGTCAATGCTTATAAAAAGAGTGGAGTTGCACTTTAATCCTTGATGAAGTGGGCGTTGTGCAGCCCCCAAAATGCATTGGCCATTGCACCAAGTACATTTTCGGAATAAAACCTGTGTTTGAACTCTAATACTTCAGTATGGTGCTTCGATTTTTTAAATCAGGTCATGTGTTACTATCAGGATCGCAAAGTTAAAATAAAGTGGTTTGTTGGAACCGAGGACCGTGCTGGACTAGGTGGGTTGTTCTTAGTCCATATTGGTTGGTTCCTCGGAAATGTCTTGGTGTTTGTCTCCACTTGGAGGTATGGGATGCTACCTTACTGGTAGACAAAGGTATTCTGATGCGGAGAGAGGAGCGCCCAATGTCCAAAGTAATACCACTTTCGATGGAAAGATAACAATCATTTATTTATCTTACTTTCAATAAACGATTGTTATCTTCCCATTGAATGTGGTATTACTCTGGACATTGGGAGCTCCTCTCTCCCCATATCAAGTCAAAATAAAGGGAAAAAAAAGAAAAGTAATACGTCCACTATATCTAAGGACTGGTACGATTCAATGTACTACATTTTTGTTCTTGGGTTAAATACACTTTAAAGCTGATGACACTGAACCAATCAAGTACAAAGAGCAATCCAGCAGTTAATTTTTATTTTTATCACAAAGGGGCACTTATTCCTAAAGAACTGAATTTACAAAGCTACATCATCCCAACAGAGGTGGCAATTAGGAAAAACGAAAGAAACTTTAATGTACAAGAAATTCATTGCCGGGTCTGCAAAAAAAAGGAGGAAAAAAGAAAACTCAATTGTGAGCGCAATATAGTTGATTTGAAATAGATGTAAGAGCTGTGAAATTGGCACACAACTGCCTATTATAAAACGAAATAACATAAACGCTTTTATATATGGCGGCAGCTGTCTATTCTTTACAACATGTTTTATGGAATGTGCGTAAGAGCAGGGACCCTGAGAGCCACCACAAATTATATTTAATAATGGCGTGAGCAGTAATGGAAGGGGCACAACTTCTGGTGTCTCCATCTCTTATCAGTAACATTGAAGTGTCTAAAGACATACTAGAGACGTCAACTAGAGCCAATGAAAAAACTACAAATGTTATTCAGAAACAAGTTCTAAAATGTACTTAAATTGTATGTATAGCTAAAGGAATAGAATTCCAGTGAAGTGTCTGTACTCAGGAGATTCATCCTTGGTGACAAAAGTAACAAACTTTGATAGAAAATCCAACATTTTAGAGTTGGCACCAGAAGAGGTGAAATAAGGAAATCTGTTCTGCAGATGGCTGCCTAACGGTGGTACTACCCTCAATTTCTAGAAATTTCCTTGTATGTTCTGATTCATACTGAGGATCCAAAGCAAGGTCCATACTAATAGTGGTCCCACCCATCCAGAGGAGTACGGTTCCAGCCATAGCAATGAATGTGGCCTTGGAAACACAGTCCAGCACACAGTCCAGACAAGGCTTTGAAAGGAAATCCAACATTTTAGAGTTGCCACCAGAAGGCAAGTTGAAGGCAAATTTTCATATGAAGAAGCCTGTTCTGATGACAGCTGTCTAAGAAGGGAAGTCTCCTCAATTTCTAGAGATTTCCTCTCATGTTCTGATCCATAGTGAGGATCTAAAGCCAGGTCTACACTAATAGCCATCCAGAAGAGTACAATTCTAATCATAGCAATTAATGTGGCCATGGAGCCACAGTCCAGCCAGGACTTTTTTTGTGCAAAAATTGACAGGAAATCCAACATTTTAGGTTTGCCACCAGAAAAAGAGGGGAAGGTAAATCTACCAATGAGGAAGTCAGGTGACACCTGTCTATGAGGGTAACTCCCCTCAATTTCTAAAGATTTCCCCTCATGTCCTGATCTATATTGAGGACCCAAAGCAGCCCCGGCCATCCAGAGAAGCATCGTTCCAGCCATAGCAATGAATGTGGCCATGGAACCACAGTCCAGTACACAGTCCAGGCAGGACTATTTTGTGCAAACATTGATGGTAAATCCAACATTTTAGAGTTGCCACCAGAAGAAGAGGTGAAGCCAAATCATCCAAAGAGGAAACCTGTTCTGATGAGGGCTGTCTAAGAGGGGAACTCTCCTTAATTTGTAGAGGATTTCCCTCACATCCTGATCAATATTGAGGACTAAATTCCATTTCTGCATTCTTGGTGGTCCAAGCCATCCAAAAAAGTATGGTTCCAGATGTAGCAGTGAATGTGGTCATGGAACCACAGTCTGGTACACAGCCCAGGCAGGACTTTTTTGTGCAAAGTTTGGGAAGTGACAGGTAGGTCTGTACAGTGATGCTCTTAGAAGCATTACTGAAGGTAAGTATTCTGCTATATAGATTATTTTGTGCTGGGAGCTTTAAATCTAAATGTCCAGCAAATAGCTAAACACATAGAAGACAGATGTTATACATACCAAAGGGTTTGTATTTCTGTGCACCCAGCCCTGAGATTTACACAGCTCTGCCACTCAGCCCTGTCAATCAAAGCAAGAGATATATTTGTATTGCTGTATTTAATGTGGTTCCAAAGTCTAACAGTTTTTTTTTACCTTAATGCATTACCTGCATTAAAGTAAAGAACTCCCCATCCCTCAACACTTACCTGAGTCCTGTCAACAATCCTGCTGCAGCTCTTCTTTCTTCACTTTCTGGTCTCACAGGAGCCTCTGCAGGAGCAGGAGCCATAGGATCCTGTGCTGTCAGTCAGCTCATGTGAGTGGGTAGCGGGGTGCATGGCCAAGACGTGCTGTGTGTGTGTCCATGGACACACACAGTTCAGCTTGGGAGGGCATCCACACGGGTACTCCATAGAACACCACTTGCTATGGGGGCACTCGCAGAAAGAAGGAAAGAGAGCACCTGCGGGGGACTCCAGAAGAAGAGGTAAGGGACCACTCTGTGTGATACCACTGCATAGAGCAGGTAAGTTATTTTTTATTAATTTAAAACATAGGCTTTATTATCACTTTAATGTGGTTGTCAAGCCTTACATATTCCCAGTGAAGTGACTGGCCACAGGTGATACACAGATGAAGCAAATTCTCCTACATAGGTTGTACCTGTTTATCTACGGCATTCTCTTCTCTACATCTGTGTAGAATTTATAAAGCTTGCTTGAGAGTTCAAAAAAAAAGGGTCGGAGAGCTGAAATTACACTCTGTAGAGCTCAGTGAAGAGATCTGTGAGAGCTGATTGGAGGGAAGATACACACACCTCTCCACACAGCATACAGGAACAGAGCTCAGTCTGTCAATCTGCTGGAGCTTCCTTCTCTGTTACCATTTTTTTATTGGTGTCAGGAAAACTTGTCAGAAGTGAATTATACTAATAGCAGAAGAAGCAGCAGATAGAAATGACACTCAGTGCTTTTAATTAAGATGAGTATACACCAGGGGCGGACTGACGACTCATGGGGCCCCCGGGCAATAGGGGATCATGGGGCCCCTGTGTCCTTGCCCACACTCAAAAAAGCCTATGAAAAAGGTACCAGGGGCATCTCATGGGGCCCCTACTGACCCCGGGCCCTTGGGCAGTGCCCGAGTTTCCAAATGGTCAGTCCGCCTCTGGTATACACTATAGAGGGATATGATTTGTTCATATTTCCTGTCTGAGCTTTACAACCACTTTAAGTAACACTAGCAGGTCTTGTCCTTCCCCCCAGCCTGTGACTGGGCATTGAAAAGAAAAGCAGAAAACTGCTGAGGTCATCTCTCTTGCACCCTGTTCTTTCCTTCTGTCATCATGTTTCTTAATAGCACATAAGCACTGTAGAACAATTGATTGGCTCCTTGTGGCCCTCTCTCAATCTGAGCTATGCGGTACAACAATTGCACAAGGCTAATACCAGGTTAAATGCAGATACATACACTGCTTGCATTACCAAATAATACAAATAATTGATTTGTTAATAAATGCAACGCTGCAAATGGGTGCATTTAATTTGGCTAGGAGTTCAGCTTTAATATTTCAATTACATTTCAAAAGTTGATTTTTTTAAAATATATTTTTTATTTGAAGTTTGCATTAAAATAATCCTTGGGGATCCTGCCATTAAGGTCCTTGTTTAGACATCTACTCTTACAGGGTGACAATGCCCTGTATATGTTTACCCGTACCTTCCTGATACCAAGTCAAAGTGAAGTATTCACACCGTGGGCCTTGTTTATCATGAGGGGCTTCAAGGTTTGACAGATGGAGAGCAAACTTTTTGTTTTTTAGAATCTTAATAAGTTCTGTTTTGGGGCCTGAAGCCTAGAGGCTTTGTAGAGCTTTCAGTGGGATAAAGCTCCCTTTCCAAGATCCACATCTTACCCGGTAGCCATACATAAAGCACAAGCCTTATATATGTGAGCCAGCTGATGCTTAGAGCTCTCTCTCTCTCTCTCAGGAGTCTGCTGCTCAGGGAAAAAGCTGAGTGCCTGCCGAACACTAAAAAAGGTACATGTGCTGCCTGTTTTTATAGGGGAACCCATTATGGTACACTCTATTATTCAAGAACTGACCTAAGTTTAGATAGTAGCTCGAACATTTAGATTAGGTTTTGTTAGTTCTCCAGCACTGAAGTTGTGTTTGTTTGCTGAATACCAGTGGAGGACGGGACAAACCTGCATGGACTTCTCCTCGGTGTACCTATCTTGTGCATGGTTTACTTATGCCAATATCAATTGAGCCTGACCTCCTTACATTTTTAGATATATATATGTGTATATATATATATACACTATATTGCCAAAAGTATTAGGATGCCTGCCTTTACACGCACATGAACTTTAATGGCCCCCCAGTCTTAGTCCATAGGGTTCAATATTGAGTTGGCCCCGCCCTTTGCAGCTATAAAAGCTTCAACTCTTCTGGGAAGGCTGTCCACAAGGAACTGATGGTTGGACCAGAAGACCTGTCTCGCAGTCTCCGCACTGATTCATCCCAAAGGTTTTCTATCGGGTTGAGGTTGCCTTAAGAGTTCCCTTCACTGGAACTAAGGGGCTAAGCCCAACCCCTGAAAAAAAACGCCACACCATAATCCCCCCTCCACCAACTTTACACTTGGCACAATGCGGTCAGGCAAGTACTGTTCTCCTGGCAACCGCCAAACCCAGATACGTCTATCAACTTGCCAGACAGAGAAGCGTGATTCTTCACTCCAGAGAGCATGTCTTCACTGCTCTAGAGTCCAGTGGCGGCGTGCTTTACACCACTGAATCTGACACTTTGCATTGCACTTGGTGATGTAAGGCTTGGATGCAGCTTTCTGGCCATGGAAACCCATTCCATGAAGCTCTCTATGCACTCTTGTGCTAATCTGAAGGCCACACCAAGTTCAGAGATCTCTAGCTATTGACTCTGCAGATAACGACTTCTGCGCACTGTGCGCTTCAGCATGCGCTGACCCCACTCTGTCATTTTACGTGGCCTACCATTTCATAGCTGAGTTGCTGTTGTTCCCAGCTGCTTCCACTTTGTTATAATCCCACTAACAGTTCAGCATGGAATATTTAGTAGCCAGGAAATGTCACGGATGGACTTATTGCACAGGTGACAACCTATCACGGGACCACGCTTGGAGTCACTGAGCTCCTGAGAGCGACCCATTCTTTCACCAATGTTTGTAGAAGAGGTCTGCATGCCTAGGGGCTTGAATTTATACATCTGTGGCCATGGAGGTGATTGGATCCAATGATTTGAAGGGGTGTCCTAATACTTTTGGCAATATAGTATATATATATATATCATAAAATATATTGTAAAAAGTGACACACAGCAGATTTACTAGTGATTTGGATCTGTTTGAACCATCTGCTGCTTGCTAGCTGCTACCTTAATTTATTTAGCCAACACCATTTTACTGCAACAACCTATACTTCTGGGCCATGTGTAAATGTCATATTTAATGTGCGCTCTATCATGAATCCACTTGTACGATGTAATTAAAATTGGCACACACAGTCTGTTCGTGTTCTTGATCAGGATAGCAACAAACCAGAACGGATCAGGAAAACTGACAGTTCGCTCCAGCCAGCATGAAACGCAGAGTGTGTCGTATTAGCTGTAAATTATTCTGTGAATGTGCACAAGTAACAGAGTTAGATTACTTTATTAAAAAAAAAAAAAAAAAACACTGAGAACATAGGCCTATCTTAACACGAGAAAGTGATATGGGGGGAAAAATGTGTCAGATTTCCAAGGAAAATCATAGCCATTAGAGAAAATTATTGAAAATACTGAAATGGTGCTTTGTGCATGGAGAATATGTAAGAGAGTGAGATGGGCTGGATGTTCAGTTTCAGATCTTCCTTATGGCAGTCCTAAATATGGCAGTGAAAATAGGCTATGGGGAAAAAATTCAAAATCAACCAAAAATGCTATCTTTAAAATTATTTATTTTGATACCGGAAAGATGGCATTACTTATTCAACGAAAGAACAAAATTAAAAAAAAGGGGTTTATTCTGACCGAAGCTATGCAAGCCATTTTTTACATTCAGAACCAGGACAGATAGGAATTACCCTCTTTCGACACAATATTTGCTATGGGTTTCTTCTTTCCTTTTCAAAGCCCTAAATATACATTCCCTGGCCACTTTATTAGGTGCACTGGTTGATAAATGAAAACAAACAAGGGCACACTCTCATTGTGCATAATAACTTGAATTCATCATTAATTGTTTACTATGGATTGCTTAGTGGTGCCATTCTGTGGTCTGATTTGCTTTTGTGGACTGGCAAAATGGTTCTCCTAACCCCTAACCAGGTGATGTGAGTATCATTCATTAGATTAGCCTTTCTCATCCTATTCAACACAGAGGAACCTTTGAAATAACTTTCTGGTCTCAGGAAACCCCTGCTAAAAAAATGACTACATTATATCTACAACTCATGATACATTAAAATAATGGTCAGAGGTAATAATGCTCCTTACACTTGTGGTCATTGGGAAGAATTACCCCCTAATCTATCTGAGAGGCAGGAATTGTTCATTGTTCACAAAACCCGTAGCTACCTCTGAAAGAACCCTGGTTGAGACAGCACTAGATGATCGTTCAACATCCCCAACCCATGTCTCTTTGACAAAGGAGATTCTGTTTTATTGAATAGCAGAGGGTTCATGGGATGGTAGGATAAGGTTCCTGTCTCCCTGTGATGTTATATGTTCAAAAAGAAGTGCTATACTTATTAGGGCAATCATTAATAAAAAAAAAACAAGTACTTCTTCCAATGTAGACCTTCATTTATCCATCTGACTCTTAAATATATCAGTGTGGGGAAGTTCAAGTAAATCTTGGCATTTGTTCAGCTGGCAGATTGGATGTGCAGAGATTTGCTCATCACATGCTGGCACCGCACCAATACACCATATCAGGTGGATCCTCTAGCTGGTGAAGAGACGTGCTTTCCATCTGTTTCATCAGGTACCACTATAAGTTGTTGGCTGTTGACAAAACAGTGAGCTCTTCTTGGGAACTCTCTTGCAAATATTATTACTGCAGGTGAAGAATGGGCACCAGACAAAATTAATGGCTGGTTAATGATTTGCAAAGTATACATTCAACACCTGTGGCATGTTTCTGTCTTTGTAGGAAACATCTCATTTTCACATTCATATAGATAAAGATGAACTCAAGGCAAACAGCTAACTATACAGTACAGCTGAAAAATAAATTAGGTATTTTGTTCAGCTAGTCTTAAGGCTAGGTGTAAGAACCCCACAGACAGCATTGTCAGTGGAGGAAGAGAGAACCAGCTCAAGTGCTTTTGCTCAGATCAAATTTATAGCTGCGTTCAGTATAAAAAGCCAACACATTTCAGGAGCACTAAGGGTTTTCCATTCATCGCGGCTTAGTTTGCCTGCCAAATTAATACTGGATGTTTGAATTTAGTGTTAAATTCCCTCTATGAACACTGTTTACTATCCATATTGGGATGAACTTGAACATTGAGTTGAACATGAGTTAGACCCAAACCCAAGTTGTGACAAATTAATGTGGCTGTTCATGTCTATAGCAACCAATTACCAAAAATGAACTTCCCCATCTCTGAACTGTGGTCTAACTAACTATGTAACTATATAACTATGTGTTGTCCTTCTTCCTATAAAAGTTAGGTTTCCCAACAGTCATTTGTCAGCCTGTGTTGGAGGAAACATGGGATAGTTAGCCACTTCCCCTCTTGAGGATTTACCCCTCTTCCTGACCAGGCCATGTTTTGCGTTATGGTGCTGGGTTACTTTAACTGCCAATTGTGCGGTCATGCAACACTGCACCCAAATTAAATTGATGTCCTTTTTTCCCACAAATGGAGCTTCCTTTTGGTGGTATTTGATTGCCTCAGTGGTTTTTATTTTTTGCGCTATTAAAAAAAAGACCAACAATTTTGAGAGAAAACAATATTTTTTACTTTTTGCTATTAAGCGTGTCCAGTAAAAAAATTTAAAAAATCAAATTTTGTCATAAATTTAGGCCAAAATGTATTCTGCTCCATGTCTTTGCTAGAAAAAAAATACCAATCCGTGTAAATTAATTGATTTACGCAAAAGTTATAGCTTTTACAAATGGCGGTATATATATTGGGATTTTCTTTAATTTTTACTAGTAATGGAGGCGATCAGCATCTTATAGCGGGATTGCAGTGGGCATTCTGACACTGGGGGGGAACTGACTTGATGTCACTGACATCCCCAGTGACACCAATACAGTGATCAGTGCTAATAAAGAGCACTGACACTGTACCAATGACACGGGGCAGGAAGGGGTTAACATGTGGGGCAATCAAAGGGTTAATTGTGTGTTTTGTGTGTGTTTTACATAGTGTGCTGTGTGTGTGTTTCACTGTAAGCACACTGCTTTGTATGGCTGTGCTATGCACAACCATGCAAAGCAGTGTGCAGGAGCTGACAGGGGAGAGAACTGTATTGTTTACAAACAGTTCTCTTCCCCTTCGGAGATACTCAGCAATCACGGGGCACCAGCGAGTAATCACTGGGCGGGAGGGACCCGACCCAGAATGGCAAAATCATGTATATATATACGTGATTTTGCGCACCCGTGACGCCCTGTAGTAATACTTCTGCTATAGGGTGGAGTGGACAGGAAGCAGTTAGGGAAAGATCACAGAGTATTTGCAGGGAAAAATAGTTGCTGATGATGATGATGGCTGAAAAGCGCTGTTTTTCTACTGAACAACAGACACACTCATTGTGTGTTGAATAGACCTAGGACAGATAGGGACAGATCACAAAGCATTTTCAGGGACAGGTTGGGAGGTGCGCTAGTGCAGTTGGGGGATTGGAGTCAAACACCCCTCATCTAGCCAGCAAGTGGAGGCCCTGAACAGGGCTGGAGGCTAAGGAGCAGTAGACCTGCATCCAGAAGAGCCAACTGTGGACTTACCGACCCTTATGGAGCTGGGGGTTAGGGCAGGTTGTGAAAGACCTTGTATGCTTGATCAAGAGCTCCCTGAAGTTAGGCTATCCCCCTGGAGAAGAAAATGTCACAGCACACTGAGGATCAGCAATATGGATCCAAAAGTTTTAATGAACGATTACATAGTTACAGCAAGACAACGTTTCGGAGTCTTGCAGGACCCCTTCATCAGGCAATTGACTAAAAATGATTGACAACATACTGGCAAGAGACTACGGATAGTATGTGACTAGTATACCATTTTCCAAGTTCCACCAGCAGCAACTATTTATGTGTGGACATTCTTTCCTTTGGGAATAAGAAGGTCTCTGACATGAAGTGAGTACAAGATGGCAGAGGGTACAACCTCAGCAGGAGGGTCACTGATCTTGCAAGGACAAGAGTGGTGCAGGAACATATGCTCTTGGCTCCAATACCTAGCCAATTGCAAGCCCTTCTTAAAATTGTCTGCATAGGCAACAACCCTCCTCTTCCCTTACGCTCTGAGCAGAGTAGGGGGCATGGGTTGGCAGAAAGCTCAGGGCATGCAGCTCTCTATTCTTTGTGCTGTCTCAGACACAGCAGATCAGAAAAAGCTTGCTGCAGGAAGAAGCTACAGACCCCAATGATGCTGTCTACAGCAGATAAAGTAAAAAGAGGCCCACAATACAGAGCTCCTTCAGCTTACTGCCTATTCAATTGCTTGCATACTGGCATATTAGCCATTTCTACCAAATATATACTGTACCTGAAGCTTGTATTTTGGGATTTACTGGGGATACAAGGATGGGAGAGAGGGTTAGGAATGTAAGGTAGAGGGTTTTAAAGTGTTTTTGTATTTTGATAGATATTAAACATTTTAGACATTGCAGATGTTTTACTAAAACTGGAGAGTGGAAAATTTGCACTACAGCTATGCATGGTCGCCAATCAACTTCTAACTTCAGCTTGTTCAATTAAGCTTTGACAAAAAAAAGAAATCTGATTGGTTTCTATGCAGAGTTGCACCACATTTTGCACTCTCCACTTTTAGTAAATCACCCTAAGGTAGTGTTGTGCTGAAAAAAGTTGACAAACCATATTATCAAATTGTTGTACCACTCACTAATTTGTACAAAGTTGAAGGCTGAGACTTGAGAAGTTTCTAGAAAGCAGTGGGCAGGGGTGAGGAGGGGCTGATCTGCATACTTAGGAGATCTTGACCAATCCCTAGGCATGAGGCTTGGCATGGTGTCAGGACAGCCCTTTAGTATGACTGAGTCTGCTCAGTTAGGGTGGAAGATATAAGAGAGGAAGAGATTAAGAAGCCAGGGAGGGGGCCCAGTGGGAAGGAGCCTACCTACAGGCCAGGGCCTGGACAAAAGGATTGCTCAGCCTCACCAGTCGCTGGAGCGAGGACTACCTGTGGAGCCAGGAAAGGAGCCAGACCAGCAGAATGCCGGAAAGCAGCCACCTACCTACACCAGTGAGTAATCTTAACCCCCCTGGGCCAGCAAAAGGGGAAAAGAGCGCTCTGGTGGGAAACCTGATTAGCTCCTTATCTGGCACTGTTCATCTTAAAGTGTCATGTACTTGATCCCCTTGCCCAAGGATTCCTCCAGACAGCTGGGTAAATAAGAGGATTTATCTGGGGTCTGGGATGGTACACCAGGAGAGGCCGGAGAGCTCTCCAAGAAGAGCTTGCTGTGAAAAGACTTGTATATAGTTGTCAGGAAATTGTCCTCAGTTTACAGTTCCATTGGGCATCCCATATACGCCTTACCCCATCCAAGTTCAATACCTCTGATAAAATGGAAAACAAAAAACAAGCTCAAGGACTGTTTACTGCCTCTGGAATTCAAGTTTGAGAAAAAGCATGTTGCTTGGCTGTGCAGGACTACAGGGGGACCCAAATCTTCAGCGACTCCTAAGGGGGTAGTGCTACAACCATATAAAGCTTAAAGGCATCTCCCAAGCATGTAACTGAAAGGACTGGTGTTTTCTAATGTTGCCCTATAAAGACCTTCTCCCTGCTAATAGGTATTTTGTAA